GTTTACTGGAGTGCAGTAATTACCATGTTTCTGCAGACTCGATTAACCATAATTACAGCATATCAGAGCAGCCTTGCTGCACGTGTATTGGTGCCCATTGTTTCCAGGTGTGTTACTCCTGATTTATATCAGGTGAGTTCAGAATGAGAGCCAAGAACAGAGCTGCAGCACTCCACATGTTCTAGCCAACCAGTCAACTCTTTTTATATTCATTTATAAATACATGACCTCTGCACTCTTGCTGGCTTTCGCAATTTCATATTGATCTCATAATATTTTCTGTTTCTTCTGCAAATCCCAACCACAGGAAGCAGTCTCAGCTTTCATTGGAATAACACTAAGTGTTTAGCCCTTAGGACTGTAAATTAAAATCTTGGTATTTTGAGCGCCAAAAGCAAAATGTAAATGAAAGGAACCCAGAATGTATTGTTTCTTTTGAGCCTTATGGTTTTAAGCCTATCCCAGGAATTTTGAGCACTTTGGATAAGCTCTGGCTTTGTAAAATGAACGGAAAAAAGAGTCAAGAGACTAAATTCTGGCCTTTTTTTTTTTACTCTTATGTGACTCTAGAGTGATACCAATAAAATGAATGGAGTTACTCCTGCTATGTGGTGGGAGTCTGGCCCCTGGACTTGTTGACAGCTTCTAATCTCAGATTTCCTGTATGGCAGTTCATGTAGTCATAATTACCAAGTCACTGAGCTCTCCTATCCCAGGCTTCTATTTGACATCTGCACCGAACTGTAAAATCCTAAGCACGTTGGTATGAATCTGTGCAACTCCTTTGGTGGTTATTTTTTTCTAATCAGCCATGTAGCACATACCCAATTCCCACAAATGACAGAGGAAGCAATTTATTGGTGTTCACTCTCTGGGGCAATGATTATAATTTGCCTGGAATGCAGTTTATTGTAGTTCATCATACATATTCCCCGATGGCATAATTGTGTAGCACCTATATAAATATTTGTTCCTGTTAAACTTTTGGAAAAAATAAAAGTGAATATAATCAAGGAGAGAATCATTAAAGCTCATGATACTTAAAGGAACACAGCCTTTTCTCCTCACTTTGTTATAGGGTCTAATCTAAGATCCATTAAAATCAATAGAAAGACTCATTGACTTCCTGGGGAATCATATTGGAACTTAAATATTTAGTGTTCCTGGTAAATGCTGGATTTACAATCTTCATCCATTTCTTTACCAAACAGGCAATGCTGAATTAGTTAATTAATTAGATGTGGAAGGGCAACATATGAACATCAGTAGGAGTTCAGTCCCTGGCCTCTTTCAATCACTAGCCTCTGACTGGCTCCTAAAAGGGGAACCAAGTATTGGAGAGTTAAGGTGGTTTTTGTGATATGGTACCTTATCAAGCAACCCTAAGATGAACTTTCCACCCCAGCTGCAATGGTGGCCAGAGCTATTTGGTTCCCATGAGACACTTAATGCGCAGTAGACTAATTTTACTATGCATTAGTATGTCATGGCAAAACCGTGCTAATGCACAGTAGAATTAGTCTACTGTGCATTAATCATTACAAAAAGACTGTGTGCCTTTGCTACTGCACATTAATGCCAGCTACTGCATATTTATGCATTACCTCATATTAGACATATTAAACTTAATGCGCAGTAGCAATGGTGCATTAATGTACATATAGACATGGCCATGGAATATTAACATGGTAAGTCTCTCCTCTACACAAAATGGTCTCCTGGTGTGTCTTAAACTGAAATGATTTCACTGATATTTCTAGATTTTACTGGCACTGGATTAAACAGTATGGGAGATCTCTTCCTAATAATCCGCCTGTGGCCTTTTATCTCTTTGAAGGATTTTACAGCAAACAGGTCTGTGGGCCAAAGAGGGCAGCTACTGAGGAAGAGGAAGTTGTCTTGGGGAAGGAGATATAAAGGATTCATGGAAAACAAGCTGTTATTTCTATTTAAGGCCTGAGTGTAGACTAGATGTTTACCATCTTTCTTCTAGAACAGAAGGAATATGGAAAATTACTATTCCCCCACTGGGATTTTTTAATCAGGCAGACACGGCATGTGGGCAAGAGGACAGGACATTTAATAAGCTTCCTTTCCTGAGGAGGAGAGTGTTTCCAAGTTTTTTCTTAGAAAGGGAAACCTTTGGGTTCAGAGCCATATTTTTATCTATTGCTCCTGAAAGATTCTGGATTCTGTTGAGAATTACTAAAATGAAACTAGTGCATGGGGAGAAACAGCACAGTATTTTGTGAAAGAAATCTATTGGTACTACCTAGTGTGAAAGTTGGTTTCCAACAGTACATTTTAAAAAAAGAAATCAATCAATCAATCAATCCAGAATTATGTTTCATGATTCCCTTCCTCCCCCACCCTGTCTCCTTTTTTTTAAAAAAAAGTGGAACAGACTCCCTGGGAAATATTTCCTAGTGGATATTGGTTATCTCATGACAAGAAGCGACGTAGCTTTTAAAATCTCTATTCTGCTCATATGAATAAATGGCTCTCCCCATCAAAGGGCATGCCATAGCTCAGGTGACTGTCAAACTGTTTACACAATGCTGGACATGAACTAAACCCTCATTAATACTGCAGTCCCTTCAGCATTATTATACTTTCCTTTCCTTTCAAATTGGTATTAGACTGCAATGGGTAGACATACATGTAGACATCTTTTATTAAACTTCTGGGATTTTTTTTCTAACCGTTTGGAATTATTTGGATTTTAAAGGATATTTCAAATACTGTCATTTCAATGTAATTTTTTTTGGGGGGTGGAAGAGGGAGTGGCAACTACTTTCATTTTTTTTCCTTTGCTAACTGTTCTTCTGACTGAAGCTTTTAATCAGTTCTACATCTTATTTGTTTTCCATGTGCGAAATTCAAGATGTTCTTTCAAAATCTAAATGACTTTGTTTTTTAATTCTAAAGTGGAGAAATGACTAAGAAGAAATTATAAATATTAAAACTTTGTGAGAGAGTGAGCAAAGTGCATCTCACTGATTCTGTTGCATCTTCTAAATCTCCCAGCAGGCAAGCAGGTTTTTCACAAATTTGCACTGGACAGAACACTGAATCGTATCAGCTGCAGCTGCTCATCCACTGATTTAACTCTGATATGAAGCAAGAGAAAGTGGTTTCTTCCAGGTGCCTCTCCTTTCTTTTTCAGGCAAGCTTTGCTCCATCAGGTGTTAGCTCTGGCCCTTACTGACAATATTTTAATTTATCTGACCAGAGAATAGAAGCGTAACTAAAAAGGAAGGGAAAGAAGGTCAGTGGTGAAACTGCCACTTGCATTTAACACAAGTTAGAACCATTCTCCAGACCTCTTTTTCTTAGGATAAGCAAGGACTGGCTGGTCTCTTTGCAAAGGTAAACTACTTTTGGACAAAAGCACAGCCTTGCTCATGTCTTAATCCTGTCTTGAAAATGTAAGGAGTTTACTGAGTCTTTGCTTTAATAACAGCAAATAGAACGGACATCTTTCATTTAAATATAGAACTTTCTCAAAGATGCTGATCTACAAATTGTTCCTGTTCTTTCTAGCAATGAAATATTCTTGATTCAAGCACAGGATCTAGCCAGAGCATGTGTGTATGTGGCACTGAGATGGAATTTGAACCAGAGCTCCAAGCCTTGGTGAAGGTAGGTCAGAAATGGGGTGGGATTTATAGGATATAGGATGTAATCCAAAAATATAGACAGTAACACCACTGCCAACTTAAGAGTGCTTGCAAATCATGAGCTGGCCCCAAAATTTCATCAAAGTAGACTTAAAAGCCATGAAGTTTTTAAACAATTATATACTTGGAGCCTTTTTTTATATACAACTTGTCCTTACTGACCCTTTTGAGATTGGTGCCAACTTGTCTTTATTGCGTGTAACCCAGGTGCACCCAAGTGCCGTGCTCCCCTCTCCAGATAGAAGGGATGAGTGGTAGACAGGAGTGCTGTAAGAGGGATCTGCAATATGCAGGCCAGATCCCAGATACTTAACTATATACAGATTCATTAATATATACAAAAATTAAGGGAATTGCTATTAATACACACACACACACACACACACACACAAATATACAATTATCATATAATACTATGTCCTACAGATAAAGGCTGAAAGATTACACCAGTCCAGGTAGCCCTTAGCAATGTGTTGACAAACAGTTGATCTAAAATAGACAGACAACAGGTAAGTACAGGTGAGTACATATAAATACAATTAAACAACAGTCAAAACACAAATATCTATACTATTACACGTACTATGTACCATCTCTATTAGTATGACACCTCACTGCGATAGATTAAATTGTTTGGAGAGGGAGTTGGCTGAGAGACCCTTATGTATTCATATTCTCATACCTTGCTCTGGGAAGACGCTGCACGGGGCAACGATGCACAGGGTATATGTATTCTCATGCCTTGCTCGTTCTTGAAAGACATCCCCACTCAATGGCTGTCAAATGCATTAGCAGAGGAGCTGTACTATAACCAGCAGGAGCAATGCCAAATTGCTCAAGATTCACTGCCATGTATGCTTCCAGCTCAGTGACAAATGATGGATGCAATCTTGAAAGCAGTGGAGTATCAAGAGCCACTTTGTGCATTTGTTGATGCACCTGGTGGTACAGGAAAAACATTCTGCTTTAACACAATTCTTTCAGCAGTGCGCGGGGAGGGGAAGATTGCATTGACTGTGGCATCCAGTGGAATTGCTGCTACCATGCTTACGGGAGACATGAATGTGCACTCAAGGTTCAAGGTACCTCTGAATGTGTTGAAAAACAGCACGTTCAGTATATCAGCACAGTCTGATCTTGCTGAGCTGATTCAAGGAGCAGCTATCATAATCTGGAATGAAGCACCAATGGCTCTTCAGTACATGCTGGAGGCTGCAGAATGAATGCTGCGAGATTTACTTCAGAGCAATTTACCTTTTGGTGGCAAGGTGATAGTGCTTGGGGGTGATAGACGGCAAATCCTGCCTGTGGTGAAAAATGCCTCATGGCCACAAATAGTAGAGGCAGGCTTGAAGTGATCTGAGTTGTGGAACCACTTCCAGATTTTCCAACTTCATGAGAACATGCAAATACGTAAGGCAGGTTTTGATGCACAAAGTGCAAAATACGCTCAGTGGCTTTTGGATCTGGGAAATGGCCAAGTTCCAAATATTGACAAAATCATTACCCTGCCTCCTGAGCTCTGCATGCCTCTGGATCTCTCAGCAATGATAGAATGGACATTTCCAAATCTATTGGATAATTATCAAAATCCAGGATGGATGTCTGATAAAGCTATTTTGGCACCACTTTACTCTGTTGTACAGGAGATCAACAATGCTATTGTGGCAGCACTTCCAGGCCAAGAATGGATTTGTACAAGCGCAGATGCTCTTTCAGAAGATGAAAGTGTTATGGCTGTGCCAATTGAGTACCTGAGTTCCATGGAGGTGTCAGGATTGCCTCCTCATCAGCTCCACCTGAAGCCTGAGATGCTCATCATGCTTCTGCGAAACCTTGCCCCTAAGGCTGGTCCATGCAATGGAACATGGATATTGGTGCAAGCCATCATCAATAGCAGACAACTTGAGGCAAAAATTGTTGGATCAGAAAGAACAGTACTAATTCTTCAGATAGCACTGTAGCCATCTGACAACACATTTCCATTCACATGGACACATTGACAGCTCCCAGTGCAGGTGGTATTCATCATGACCATCAACAAAGCCCAGGGGCAAACATTAAAAAGAGTAGGAGTGTTCCTTTGGGATCCTGTCTTTACCGATGGACAACTATATGTGGGTGCTTCCAGAATCTCCCACCCAGAAAATATCCAATTTGCAGTGACTGTTGACTTGAGTAGCAAAACCAGGAATGTTTTGTATATGGAAGGACTATAAAGCCCTTACAGTAAGAAAATGTGATATGTTTAAGGATTTTGTGTAAGCAGAAGTGTTGTGAAGGTGTTGAAGTGCAATAAAATGTGATCTCGAGCAAAAATTGCCTCATTGGGTATTCATGCAAGCAACGCTGCACAGGGCATCTAGTACACAGGTAAGTATAGGTAATGTTACCTCAGTTCCGTGTTCTTGGGGAACCCTAACACAGGACCCAGACTGTCTGACTCACAAAGAACCCCCCTCCTCTCCTCTACCTAAACAGAAACTGATTAAGATGCAGTGAGAGACACACCTAAAACCCTCCAGATCAGGGTGACAAGAGTGAAACAACTGCCCTAGGTCTCATTTGTATCTGAGATGGAACCAGTTGACCATTCATTTACATAAGAGATGGAGAACAGAAAGCCTGAAGCAGAGACCACAGTGAATTCTGGGATCAGAGAAGCAGGGGAGCACTGCATGATGGGGAATCTGTGCTCCAAATGCTAATCAAGCATTATTTACACACACCCAGCTCAGCATTTATCAGACCAGTTCTAATCTGGATTTACAAAGGACTTCCCCCTCCCCCCGCAACACGCACACACCTCTAAGCAGAAGTAAGTCTACTAGGCATCTTGGGCTGTACATTCCCCAATCCCACTATGGGAAGCCTAGTTAAACTTAATTGGCTAAAACTCAGTTGCCGGGTTAGGGAATGCTGAGGCAGGACACCGAGTCAGGGGGTATGGGCAATATTTGAACAATGGTAAAGGGTTCATCACAGTGTCCAGCCCGTTGGAGCCCTGACCACAAGTGTTGTCATACTTTTCCCGGGACAACTGGTGGAAGTCCTCCCCTCCCAAAGATTATGAACACTCCAATAATTGCCTTAAGTCTGTTAAAAGACTATAGTAAAATCTGGAAAAGTCATGCTAAGCTGAGGCTTGTCCACAAGTAAAAATCCAAAACCCTGATGCTGCAAGCTATCTATTGTTTCTGACGAAACCAGAAGATATTCCATCGGTATATCTGCTAGCCATAGGAATTTCAAGCTGGCTCCTAAGTATCTGGTTACTCCCTAACCTTATGTGTTTCCTGAGTATCAATCAGTTTCCTGAAATGTTCCAAACCAGATAACCCCTTGTCAATAGAAAAGACAATTTGATTTACACTATTGAGAATGCTTGAAAGAAGCTGAACCGAGGGTATAAAAATCTGTAAAAAGCAGTAGTGTGTGTGCTGACACCACCCGCTTTCTTCTCGAGAGGCTGAAGGAGGCATATTGTCTCCCTTCAAGGATCATGCTGAGAGCTTTAACCTTTCAGCTTTGCAACCCGAGTGCCTTGGACTGATGAGATCCCAGATCTCTCGCTTTTCTCTTCTCTCTCTAAGCATAGATTTCTGAACCTGAAC